TATCTAACCATTGGTCACAGAATCCAGGATGTCTGAGGCCCTCATTGGTTGTCTGTCTACTGTATCTAACCATTGGTCACAGAATCCAGGATGTCAGAGGCCCTCATTGGTTGTCTGTCTACTCTATCTAGACATTGGTCACAGAATCCAGGATGTCTGAGGCCCTCATTGGTTGTCTGTATACTGTATCTAGCCATCAGTCACAGAATCCAGGATGTCTGGTTAGTCTGAGTGTAATGGTAAATCCAAATTATCAATTTGACTGGAATGAAAAGCACCCAGATAAGTAGTGAACTTTCTAGGTGTCTGTCAGGGCCCTTCCATAGAGGATTAACTAAGCCAGGAAAGACCAACTTGGAATGTGGGTAGTACCATCTGTGAAGTCAGGGGCCCAGATGGGATTAAAGGAAGTGGAGGAAGGCTGGGGCTTCGGCATTCTCTTCTACTTCAGTCTATCATGATGAAAACTGCTGGTCCTATCACAGCCCCCTGGGCATGGTGACCCAAAGCCTCTGAAACCAGGAGCCAAAACAAAACAACCCTCCCCAGCAGAAGATAAACCCTCCCCATCATAAGATTAAATCCTCCCCATCATAAGATTAAACCCTCCCCATCATAAAATAAACCCTCCCCACCATAAGATTAAACCCTCCCCACCATGAGATAAACCCTCCTCACCATAAGATAAACCTCCCCACCATAAGATAAACCTCCCCACCATAAGATAAACCTCCCCACCATGAGATAAACCCTCCTCACCATAAGATAAACCCTCCTCACCATAAGATAAACCCTCCTCACCATAAGATAAACCTCCCCACCATGAGATAAACCTCCCCACCATAAGATAAACCCTCCTCACCATAAGATAAACCTCCCCACCATAAGATAAACCTCCCCACCATAAGATAAACCTCCCCACCATAAGATTAACCTCCCCACCATAAGATAAACCTCCCCACCATGAGATAAACCCTCCTCACCATAAGATAAACCTCCCCATTATAAGATAAACCTCCCCACCATAAGATAAACCTCCCCACGAGATAAACCTCCTCACCATAAGATAAACCTCCCCACCATAAGATAAACCTCCCCATTATAAGATAAACCTCCCCACCATAAGGTAAACCTCTCCACCATAAGATAACCCTCCCCAGCAGAAGGTATTTCTTCCTAGTGTTTGGTAACTATAGTGACAAGGTCTCAGTAACACAGAACATGTATAAACTAACCAAGAAAATCCAGGGTTTGCCTTCAAAGCAGTTGATTACTAATTGCCACCCAGTCTACTGACTAGATTTTAGAATCTAATCTCATTGAGAGTGGCAGAGCCACAGCAGGTTGATAAGGCCTGTGCAAGAGCATGCATAATGCTGTGCCTGGTGGGCACTCAGAGTGGAAGACCTTTCAAATTAGGGCAAAGGCCATGATGTGGAACTCTGGCAAGGGAGGGCTCACAATTATGTGGTGGTATGTAGTAGACAGTAGCCCACAGAGTGCTGGGAGAAGCTGGTCAGTTGTCCTAGGGCCTCAGGAATTACTGGCATTCCCAACTAGGAGCTCCACTCAGGATTTCAGTTAGACCATTGGCATCAAGTATGGCTGCCTGCAAGCTTCCACACCTTCTCTGGCCATGGAATTCCCAGGGGGGAAAAATGAGGAAGGCTGAGACAGGTCCCAGCCCTGTCTGCTCACAGGGGATTAGATAGAGATCTTTTGAACACTGAACTGGGGGCGATCCTGCCAGCAGAATGAGGGAGTTAGTGCTGAGTTGGCAGCTATAAGGGGCTAAGGACACTCTCCTGAAATCTGTTGCAAAAAAAGGGGCTTAATCAAGGTGACCCCAAACTGGACATGGGTGGAAGGAGGGTGTGTGCAGGAGTGTGGAGGAGGACAGGCAGTGTCTGCTTGCAAGATCCTCTCTGATATCAATGTAACACCCCACCCCACCCCCACCGCAAGACGGGACACAAGAAGGCAAGAGACAGTGGGTGTGTGATAGAAATAAAACCACTTTACTGTTTAGAATAAAGGACATACTATAAAAAGTGAACATTATGCAACATTACAAGACAATATACATTCACGGAATATAAAATTCATAAATAACATGGAGGAAAACTGTAAACAGTGCTACAAAATTTAGCAACAAATACATTCCTTCTAGACAGGGTTTTCTCTGGTTGGTGTCTCTTCATCATTACTGGGCTTCAGCACGGCCAACTGGTTAAAGGAAAAGTAGTCATAGAGAATCTAAGGTACCCCTGTCCTAAGAACATGGTCATTTTCTTAGGTCCCCTCCTCCTCAATCCAAATAGCCAGCTTAGATCTGTCAAGACCATCTCTCCTGCCTTCTCCCATTTTATTGTACTTCTGCCAATAGATTTAATTTTTAATGATTCTCTCTGATACAAACAGTAGAGTGATGTTTTTAACTTTAAGTAGCAGGAAGCCAACCACCTATGTGCCACCTAGGCATGAGGCATGGAAGGGTAATGCTTCCTGGATGTACATTATCTCCCAGACAGATCTATCCCCAAAAGTCATTGTGTGTCCTTTATTGTTTAAGAAGCACAGCACAAAACGGTATTTGTGTGGCAGGGATAGGGCTGGAGAAGGTAGGTCCTGTGGTTTCCTTAAGCTCCCTGCCCTGGCTAAAGCAGAGTGCCAGCCTGGGAAGCAACAGCTTGTGCGCAGGAATTCCTTGGTTGGAAGGCAGAAAAGATGCCTAGATGAGACAAAGAGAGCTTGGAGTCACGGTTGCCATGGCCCCGGACTTTGCAGAAAACATAGCTTCCTGGTTGAGTAGGAGAAAGGTCTTAGGAAGTGGGTGGCAGATGACCCAGGGCTAGCTGATACAAGACAAGGACATCAGTGCACTTTTGTGTTTGTTTTGTTTTTCTTCTTTTCCTTCCCACCCTTGGGATTCCATGGGGAGGAGGCTGTTTCTAGTACCTTCTCTTTCCTTGAACTCCAGTCTAGCCAAGTGCTTGAGTCCCAGTATTCTACCCTCCATTCTACTGTAGAATTTGAATCAGGAAAATGGCATGTGGGTTCCTTCCTTTCTTTTTTTTTTTTTTCTTCTTCTCTTAGACACAGTGTACACATGAGAGCCTACACATGATTTAGCAAAATAAAACATTCATGATATGATTGAAATATCAAAGTGTCTCAGCTACATAAATGATTTTAAATTATACAGTAAGTGAACAGGTGAAATAAACAAAGCTATAGCTTATAGAAAGCTCAAAAACCGCCCTCCAATGATGTGACTTTCCAGAAAACCCTTCCTAGCCAAGGACTTCTCACCAGGGCCTCACCAGACACCTGTGGCCATGGTTCTGCAGCTGATTTTATCTTCAGGCTAAGTTCAGATGCCTCATGCTCAGGTCTCACCTCGTCTCTCCCTCTAGGAGTGGGCTGATGACATGGGAATTGAGAATGGCTACAGGCCTCTTGGAAGAGACGCTGGGGTGCCATAAAGGAGGGCACTTGAGCAGGGTAGAGCGGGAGCTCCATGTTAGGAGACTCTGAGGTTGAAGTACAGAACCCCAAACAGTAAGTCACCCCTTAAGAAGTACTGGCTTGCTGACCTCAGCTCCTTCTGCTCCACACCATGAGAAGGGCCATGCCTTCTGTTCCCTGTGAGCACAGGGGAATGAAATCAGCCAAGAGGAAACTCGACACCCATTGCCTGAACAGTCTTCCTGCTCTGCGAGGCTGTCAAACACAAGCCAAAGCATTGGTGTATGTGGGGAGGGGCCGGGGGACAGACACTGGAATCTGTTGGCTTCTCTCTCTCTCTTTCTACTTATAATTGGTAACTATGTTTCCTAAAGTGGAATGAGCTGAAGATATGATACTAATAGGGGCTAAATACCCATACTCTGAAAAGAGACAGAGAATAATGTTAAATGTCACCACCTTGCCACCTCAAACTCTGTAAAATACACATTATCACCTACTATTGGCAATGCATTTATGACACTAAAACTTAAAATAATCTTATTTAATAGGAAAATTTATATTATAGTTTTATTTTAAAAACAAAAATACAATACAATAAACGGCCTACAGTTTGACAGCAGAGCCTGGCTCCCTCAGTGACCAACCAAC